GCCCCCACAGGGCCAGGGCCACTGCTTCTCCTGGAGTCTGCAGCGGGAGCCCCCATGGATGCAGGGACACTGTCCCTCCTGGAGTTTACAGCCACAGCCCCTGCAGGTGCAAGGGCACTACTTCTCCTGGAGTCTGCAGCTGGAGCCCCTGGAGGCTGGGGGGGTCCTCTGCTTCCCTGGGGCATTGCATGGCCAGGGCTAGCAGCACCTTCCTGTGGGCTGCTCCCAGGATTTGTGAGCTCACTCCTCTTGCTGCTGGCAGAACCAGTCTGCACCACAGGAGGTGTCCTTGTCCCTGCTGTGCTTGGTGGTGCTGGCTTGAACTTCAAAATCTTCAGAGCATCTTTCTTGTAATTTTTTTCTGCTGTCCTAATAATGGCACCTCTTTTCTGAGCATCCTGAATCAATTTGTTCCAGTCTTTATTATCCTTTAAAAAGAGTAAAAAAAAAAAAACCAGCTATGAGCAAGAATCCAACACAAATGGACAGAGGTGTCAGAGGAGGCACAACCTCTTTAATCAAGGTACCTGACAGAACTGTCATGGAAACCACTTATGGTCCTTCTGGAATGAATGGATCTTATGTTTCAGCTGTGAAACAGCCACAGACACTCACTGTGGCTCAGTGACACAGGGAAGGGACTTGGACCAACCACGACAATTCCTCTTTTCCCAGCGCCGGGAGGTTCTTCCTGGCACGTGGCTCTAACGCCCTCCAGTGGCGCATTAACACCTTGACCTTGGGAAGGCCAAAAATCAAGGACCGTGCAAGACAAAGTTTATTTCTTCCCACAGCCTCACGGATGGTTTCCAGTCCCCCAACCCTGGCTTACCCTCGAGGGTCTGTCACAGGGACCACTGGACTGACACTGCACCTACCATGAGTGTCTGCAGCCTGCCCAGGATGAAGAGGCTGAACTTGGCTCGGGTAATGGTGACATTCAGGCGCTGAAGGCTGGCCAGAAACCTGGGAGACAAGACAAAACTCAGCTCCTAAACTGCTTCTTCCACAAGGTTTGAGGGGTATGAGAAGAGAGAAATTAAATTTCAGTGCAATTAAGGCAATTCCTGCCCCATTCCCAGGCCCTGCTGCAGCTGTTCTGCCTCACATGAAAGGCTCTGCACGAATTGTTTTCTTTCACCACTCTGATTCCTTGCAGGGAATTCCAGTTCTTTCCAGCTCTGGCCATTGATGTTTCCCTTCTTAGAGCAAATCCTCTCTTAATGCCATCCACTGCTTCCTTAAGTTCCTCAAAGTCCTGAGGACATCAACCTCACTTTACCTATCAAGACTTTAAGCTTCTTTTTGACTTGAAATGAAATAGATTAACAATTTTTGGCATGATTAATGGGAAAATGTCCTACTGAAATACTGAACAGGAATGTTTTATTCCAAAGGTGACCTGCACTGGAAGCAGGTGAAGGCAGAACTTGTCGTGCTTTGTCATGCTTCAAAAGTATATTCTTGCAGAAGAAAGTCTGGTTTGGCAGTATTGGAATTGTTTAGTCTGTTTCTGTGGGATCACAAACCAAGGTACTGAAAGCTAAACAAATGCTTAGTGTATTCTTAAAGGTGGATTTTTTGTTAGGGTTTATTTACCAAACACTAAAAAAAGGTTTGTGAAACTAATACCAACTATTTCTTCTCTGAGGAAAAGGTTCCCAAAATGCACAGCACAGGGATTATAGTTCTCTAGGTCTTGAGGAATAACAGAATGGGATGTGAAAGACTGCTAAGTATTCCTAACTGCTTTTACAACTGAAAGACAAAGGTTATTTTCTCAGAAAAAAGAAAAATCCATTGTCAGCTCTGGGTGTTTTCTCCTCCTACTTTCACAGTAGATTTCATGCTGGACTAGCAACCTTGGAGAACAAAATACTTTGCTCAGCAGCAAGATCATAGGTCAAGGTGTGGCAAACTTATCCCATCACACCTTGCCAAGGACACCTGACCCTGAAACAGTCCAAATCATCAGCATGTATAGCTCCTAAGGCCTTGCACTGTCAAAACTTGAATATATAAACCTGCACCACAAAGTTCCTTCCAAAGGAGCAGACAGAGGTTAAGTCCTGTGTCAGCCAAAAGAACTGGCAAGTTTCAGTTCCTTTGGTTTCCAATCTCAACCAGCTCAAGAAATCTTCAAAAAAGCATCACTGCTGTTTACTATAGGATTTGGATTCTTTCTCTTCCCAAAGTACCACGGATCAGCACAATTAAAAGCCATTTATCTGGCAACCAGAGAAACATAAGCAGCTTAGTGAAATCTGCTATGCAGAAACAAAGATCTTTGTTTATCTGAACAGACTTCCCATGGTTTAACTTAGAAGCCAATGAACTCTAAGGAGGAATATTTCATATTTCCACTACCATTTTTTAAACTAAAATGATCCACAAGTTACAGAAACGAATCAGCAACTGCTGTAATGCTCTGAGGGTACACAGCACACTCAGTGTTTAGCTCCTTGTTCCAGACAGAAAAAACAGCATCTAAAATTAATAAATCTGCTATCTTGAATCAAGACTTCTGAAAATTCCTCTCTAACCCAAAAGACAAGCACATCCATCTACAAATCCCAGATCCAGCTTGTCTACATCACATTCTGAGGGACACATCTAGCTAGTTACCAACACCTTTACAGACAGAATATTGTATTAACAGGAACAGCCACAGAAAATGCATTTAATTTGAAAGGAACAGCACTCAAAGTCACAACATGTATCAAAAGCTACAAGAACAGTGACTGCTGCAGTGCTAATGCACAGAGCCAAGTTCCCAAGGCCAAACCCAAACGGTGACAGGCTTAGGGAGCTGTGCAAAGGGATCAGCATGTTAAGGCAGAGCACAATACCAGCATTTCCCTGCTCCTTTTGTTCAGGGATCTCAAACCAGTTAAACAGGAATTCATGCACTAAGATACCCTTTAATCTGCTAACTAGTAGGAGTGACCTGTTCTCTGTAACTTTCTTCCTAGTCCTATTAAAAAAATATGACAATATCCAGAGTGTCACTGGAAATGGGATTTGCAAATCCCTGCAGACACATACCCAATGGATCCCTTGGTACTGTTTGCCCGGACACATGTCACTATGATGCAATCTTTCTCTCTTCCCTGGAATGCATCCACTGTGTCCACTTCTCCTGGGCTGTTGAGGAAAGAATTAGCAACCTGTTAAACTATGTTAGCTCAATTTTTAAGCAACAAGGAGCCTAAACACTATCCTTTATGCTTATCTGTCAAAACCACCCAGGGTAAATTTCTGCTGCTTCTTCCTTTTCTGAGCCCAGCATCAGTACTGAAAAGCTGTTCAGGTCCATGGAGCTTGGAATTTTGGGTTTTCTTTTAAATCAGCTTTATTCAGAACAGCAATATAATCAAAGCATGTAGACAAGTAACAACTAAGAGGTGGCACAAATGCCTGTTTGGAGCAAGAGGCCTGCATTGCCCCTGAAAGGATTCTAAGCTTCTGCCTTGACTTTAAAGAGGATCACCAAAGGATTAATAAGCAAGAGGCAAGACCCATTTGAAAACTTGCCATTTCTTTACCTGTTGTTCCTAAAAACACTGTCCAGTTGTTCCTGAATTTTCTTCTTCTGTGCACTGTAAGGGGTAATTATTCCAATGCGACGCAGACCCAGATCCTTCCTCTTTTCTTTAATTGTTTTGATTAATTCCATCACCAGCTTCACTTCATGAGGATTACTGAAAGAGCTGAACAGGACAAAATGAAAACATTACCGAAACACCTTGGACAGGGTTTTCAAAGTCAGTGCTTCAGCTCAATTTGTTGGGGGATTGTGAGTCACAGTCTGTCTTGAACTTTTGAGCCTCTTCCACTGAGAGGCTCCAAATAACTTAGCAAGAAGACCCTGATGAGAAGCTACCAGCAAGGAGAAGTGTTGGAAAGGCTGCACTTCCATGTTCCCTTAGCACTCCCCAGCTGTGCTTTCCTTACAGAAGAGGCACAGGGGAGGACTGAGCCTGCCACCTCCTGGCATCACCTCAGCCTGCACCTGGGAAAGGGAAGTCACTGATAAAAAATTGGGAACTCATTATAGAGGTAGCAGAGATTGAAGGCATTCACTGGCATCTAATAGTCAAACCAGGATTAGAACCAGATTCAGATTACAAAAAGAGCCAAAAATATTTGACCTCTGGTTATTGTAGAATTAAATCAAACCAAGTAGAAAATGCAGTTCCAGCTGCTTACTGCATCTTGCGAACAAGAGATGAGGGAAGACAATGCTTCTGCAGGTAATTACATCTCAGAAAATCTAACCCCTGGCTGAGCAGAACACAGGACTTACTCGTTGTCTCGCTCCTCACGACCGTCTGCTACGTCAAAGATAAGGTAGGGCTGGAATGGCCACTCTGAGGAACATCTGTTCTCTTCTATTGCTCTGTAAATAACAATTCCATCACTAGGTAACCAAACAGAAATCCTAACAACTGATACTTCATGTATTTACACCATGGTTATCAAACACAAGCAACTCTCCAGGATGAAAGGAAATGGCCTCAAGTTGCACCAAGGGAGGTTTGGATTACAAATTAGGAAAGTCTTTTTCATGGAAAGGGGTTGTAAAGCATTGGAACAGACTGTGCAGAGAAGTGATGGAGTGATTCCTAGCAGTGTACATAAATCATGTGGATATGGCACTTGAGGACATGGTTTAATGCTGAACATGGCTGACACTTGGACTTGATTCTTACTTTCAGCTCTTTCCTCCCCTAAAGTCCTTAATTATCACTGCTACCTACATCTACTGAGGCCTGAAAATGAACTCTCAGCTCTCTGTGTGCTTGATGTGAAGGGATCTAGCTAACTCCCCTATCATCATAGCTAGCATGAACAGGAGATGGAAAGCATCTTTTCTCCCATTAAGCATCTTTCCCTCTCCTACAACCTCAAGAATTTTTAGACTCAAAAGAATATCCTGACATGAAAAGGTTTCTGTGAAACAGCCCCTGCACAGCAAGGAGAACAGAGAGAGCTGCTCACCTGGCAGTCTTCAGAGTTCTGCCATACACATAGTTGGATGGGAAGAGGCAGATGTCAGGGTGCATCCTGTACTGCACAGTCAGCTGCACGACAGGGAGACTCCGCAGCACCTTCCTTTGCACTTGCTCCTCCAGGTGCCTCTGCAGCCGAGCCATCAGGGACTGGTCATAGCCATATTCCTGAGCTTTCTGCCAGAGGGAAAACAGGAGATTGATTTCTGGGGAATTAGAAACAGGAATTTGCTTTTTGGACTTCAAACTCTTTGATGTTTTCTTTTAAACTTCTAAGTCGCTGACAAAATGACAACTACTCGCACTTGAGTTTTGTGTTTATCTTACTATTTCAGCAAAGGTCACCCGCATAAATCTGAGTTTCTGTGTGTAGTCTTTAGCAGAACTCTCCTTTGTGAGCCAGAACATAGTAAAAACATCAACATTAATGACGAGAAACATCTTCCAGGTGGGATCTCATTAAACCAGCACAAACCCTCTAGACTCTTTATCCCTCTAGAAAAAGTCTGTTTTCCATCCTTTCTTCATCAAATGTTTAAAACAGTTCTTACTGTTGGCTACAAGGAAGTACTCCTGTATGTTCATCCTTGGAACACACCTGTAGGTGAGGAAGTCCCCATAAAAGAGGTAATCTTCATCCTCTTTTCCTCAAGCCTCAAGCAAAGTGACACTGACTGAAGCTTCCCAAATGAGAAGAAAACATCACAAACCAGTGCCCAAATGCATGTTTGTATGGCCACAGCCAATCTTAATGCTGCACAAAATCAGTCCCAAGCCACCCCAGGGAAGTCTAGAGGTTGTATTTGCACACCTGTATTAGCTTTATTCACACCTTTGAAGGCAGCACTGATGTATTCTCCACAGAACAGACTCAGCTTGCAGGGCTGAAGTTATTACCTGATACACATCATGATCTGACATGGAAATGTCTTTTTTTTAACTTTTACATATTTGCAGTAAATACTAATCTTACACTATATCCACTCTACAGCAAGGAAAAAGACAAGAGTTTGAACACTTACTACTGATTTTACAGTAGGAGGGAGCTGTTTGGGATCTCCAACAAGGACAAGTTTAGTACAGCGATGGATCAGTGGGATCAGTGTTTCGACCTCACAGGACTGCCCTGCCTGTGGTGGATGCAAACAGGACAAAAAAAAAGGTGTAAGCAAAGGAGGGAAGTGTGTTAAATTTTCTGTAACAGAGCTAGACTAACTCACATGCTTTAAGTCCTAAAGAAAATAGAGAGGAAAAAGAAGGACTTTTCCCTAGGAAAACACTACAGATTTATCTTTCATTATTAAATCGACATTGCAGGACAGGCTGAGGACCAGGAAACAGGTGGGGCACCCACAAGAGATTCCACCAGCAGCCAAGCAACCACCAGTGGCCTGAGCAGAGCACGAGGCAGACAGAGGTGGAATGCTGTGGCTCCAAACAGCTTCACTGACCTCATCCACGATGACACAGCTGAAGGGATCGAGGCCTTGCCGTGAAAAGGCTGATTCCAGCAGGCTCCCTCCACTGGTGCTCAGGGTGCAGCAGATAATGTCAGATTCCAGGATGATATCTGCCTGTACCTTCTGAGAGTACCCCCGAACCTTCAAGTACAACAGGACACCATGTGTCCTCTTTTAGCTTTCTTGAACCATCTTAGAGCAAGTGCTAACTGCCAAAGGGCCCATGTATCATTCCCAATTAGACTATCTCCATTACAACAAATGACTACAGTGTTCTTTCACTTGGAATTACAGATGAATCCCACTGAGGGTGGCAAACTGGAAAGAAGTATTTCTTTCTATCTGCAGCTGTGCAATCTGAACACACTAAGTGCAGAGTTTAGTTTGCCATCACATTTGTCACTCCAAGCCTCCATGACTGTTAAGGGACAGCAGATACTCATTAAAGATGAACCTTCATTTACCTCCTAGTTCATTGCTGCTTAGCATTAATTACTGGCTCTGCTATCAGTGCCTCTTTCCACCTTCAGATCTACCTACACACACAGAGAAAAAATATCCTCTAGGACTGTAAGGGGCATCACTGGGTTGATGAAGATACATCCTAAAACATGAGGACATGCAGTTTTGTTAGGGTCTTCGCCAAATATGCCACATTTTGTTTAAAATTCACCCTTAGTTGTAACAGTGAATATTCCTGTTTGGGGTTTTTTTGTGGGGTTTGGGTGGGTTTTGTTGTGTTTTTTTCAATATGCTGTCAGAGCACACCTAGATTTCACACCCAGCTGTCCATAATTTACACAGTGTCTGACTTTTTGTCTATTTATCTAATATTTTATACTTCCAGCTACATTGAAACCAAATTCCACCACAATTAAGCGACACCAAGTACATAAATGCATCAGCTGAAGTTTATTAAAGAGCTGCCTTAAAGATAAATTCTTACCTCCTTTAGCTGAGAAGCAAGTTGTTGTCTCTCCTTTGAAAGTCTGGCAATTTCATCATCTAACTTTTGGCTCTAGATGGGGGTGGGAAATAGAGAAACCACCTATCAGGAATGATTACCACAACCCATTTCCCATGTACCTTCTTTCCTCCCCTACCCTAGTTCATTTCCGACGCATTTAGACTTGCTCAGACTGACTTTTCATATCAAATGTGCCTGAAGAAGCTGATCAGTTTCTTGGAAAGTTGTCAACACAGACTTTGCAACACACAATTCTACAACTTGCACTGCCGTGCAACTGGGAAATAGTTTACCATTAGGAATCTGTAATTTGAGCACAAATGCCAAATTTTTAGACAAAAGGAAATGGAAAATTTCAAGTGCAACACATTATAAAATCTGAGATCACAAGGTATCTTACTATCTGCAGTGAAACAAAAACAATACAATCAAATTAGTTCATTAAGATCATAAATATGGTTACACTAATGACTAGCTGGTGACAGAACCAAACACTAGAGCAAGAAGTGGCAGTGATCAACCACTGGAAAATACTGGCATAAACAAACAAATTTCTGATGTAAAGTTCTTCATTCCCTTTGGTGCTAATTTTCCATCAGTAGATAAAGTAGGTGAAGACACAGTTAACTGCTCAGAGGTGAGAGGTGACACTGCAAGGCAGAGTTATCAAAAGGTAGAGAGGTTCAGTCATGAACACAAAAGCACGCACAGGATTGAAAATTATCTTGTTACCTCTCTCTTCTCACATCTGTGCATGGCACGTTCCCGAGACAGCATGTCCAGCTTCTGGTCCAGAGCTTCCTCCTTCTTCTGGATATCCCAGTCAGAGTCCCCTGGTTTTCGTTCTGCAATGAACCAAAGGAAACATGCAGGAGGAACAGAAAAAACGCCAGAAAAACACTGGAATGTGCTGCCCAGGGAGGTGGTGGATTCACCATCCCTGGAGGTTTTCAAGATGAGATTGCATGTGGCACTTAGTGCCATGGTCTCGTGACCACAGCAGGGTTGGACTTGATGATCTTGGAGGTTTTTTCCAATCTGGTTGATTCTATGACTTTCCCTTTTTCTATTGAGGTTTTATTCTGTACACTGAAGATAATGAGATTTGCTTCCAAATGTAGTTCTCAAATGCTGCACAGCCACATTGCTTAAAAATTATGGTTTTAACATGCATGTAATATAATTTCTTTTTAAAAAAGAAAAAACTAAACAGTCACCTTATTTCTTTTTCCTTAGATTTTAGCCCATATATGAACTGTAACTTTCCCACTATGACTGAAAAAGGCAAGTCTTTATTTCAATCTCTTGTAGAAAAATCTTCCCTCTAAAAGGACACATAGTCCCATGTGTAAAACATCATCAAACTCTCAGAGGAGACTGAAGAAAAAATCTGATTTGCATGTTACTTACTCATTCTGTGTTCAACTTGCTTATCCAGGCTGAATCCTCTGACTTCAGTGTTGATTGCTTTCTCAGCACCAAGTCGCACTAGTTTGATATCACCACAGTTTCCTGTTTACAAAATCAGGGTAGAAACAGGTTCAGATGACTCCAACAGTCTTTACACTTTGCTGTGGGAGTTAAAATGATGAAAACATCACGGATATCAAACAAAGCCTTTTCTACCTTTCAGGGGTTTGCAGTAATTCACTTGTACTTATCTAAATGCAGCTACAAACCAGTTCAGCAATTCCAAACTCACAAAGTAAAGGTATTGCCTATGTTTTTTCAGTGGTGGCTAAATTGAGGATGTTGTTTGAAACTAACAGAACTACACCTTATTTTTGGGTTTCTTTATCAAAAACTTACAGAACTCCTAATTTAGACAGGTACCAAGTACCATCAAGTAAAGCAGTTGGTAAGACAATACCAAGTTAACATTTGGTTACAAATGCAGATTTTCCCCCCCTCACCACAGGTCAGATGTTTCATTCAGCACTCATCTACTTTGTATTAGTCACAAACTGGGAGGGGAAAAAGGTGAGAGGTTCTGACACGTCCAAAATTTCATCAGCCTGTTTCATGTGAACAAACTCCAGTTTTATTCCAAGTCAAGGTAAGAATCCTGTGTTCAAATATTAACAGCTGGAGAACTGGAACTAACAGTGGGAGGAAAGGGCCAAAGGCTAAAGCCTTGAGCAATCTGCTCTGGTGAGGAGATGTTCCTGCCCAGGGCAGGGAGGGCTGGGACCAGATGATCTCTAAGGTCCATTCCAACCCTTAAATTCTATGTTATCAACCCTTTCAGTTCCTCCTTCAGGTTTTGCCTATTTAGCCTAAAACCAGAATTTTAAACCAATCCATACCCAAAGGTTCCTGTTTGTTTTGGCATTTTTCCTTGAACGCAACAATGATCTTTTTCATGAGCTCATCAACAGCAGCATTGGAAGGTGCACAGACCAGGAAACGGTTTGGTTTGATCTTGGAATTCTTTCTCCGAGCTGTCTTCTCATTCCTAGTGTTCTGTAGGTTAATTAAAAACAAACCAGAACAGACTCTTTAGATTATTTTCATTTGTCATTTAAAAGCCAGAAGTATGTTCACCTCAATCCACATGCAGAGTAGGGAAGCTCTTGACTTGAAGATCTCTTTAGATATGTCTTATACTGAGGAACAAGTAGTCAAATATACTAAAACCATTTGCATAAACTCCCTTCAAAAGTGATGGACTGGAATCTACTGGATGCCCATATGGAAACCACTAAATAGGAGAGGTCAAATAACCTTCTCTAATACATAACAATATTACAGTTTTTTAATGCAGCAAATGTTTACTGTTCCTGGTTTTACATTCTAAGTTCTGTCACATAAATGTGTCCCAAGAGGCCCAAAAGCTATTATTATTTCCACCTTTCCACCCTACACAACACAGATTTAATTAGTTCAGGTTAATGAATTACACCCCCAGTAATTACCAATACTACACTTTCATTTAGTTTAAGCTATCACTGAGTCCCACTGGGAAACCAGAGCCCCAAACCATGGTCATGGTCATACAAACCCCAGCACAACCACCACATCACCTTCACTTACTTCTCTCAAAACACGAGACAGAAGTCCAACGATAGTTTTTGATTTCCCTGTCCCAGGTGGTCCATGGATGAGGCAGATCTTGGGAAGCCCTGGATGTTGTTTTACCATGGCATAAGCTGTCTCAATGGCTCTCTTTTGGTCTTCATTGTACTCATTCATGTTCAAAGCCTGAAGGGATTGACAAGAGGGAAAATAATTAATTAATGTGGATCAAACCTTCCGTGCTAGTTTAATCTCCTTCCAGAATGTCCCCAACTCTCCCTGCCACACCTCAAAAGCTTAAGGGCAGGGAAGCTTTGGATTCTGGGTTTGCTTTACATCCAAACTCAATCCCCATTCAAAAGCTGCAAAATAAAGGTGTGTAGAGTAAACAAAACCATCATTTTGCATTGTCTTTTTCATACTACACCTTATTTCCTGAAGCCACACCTTCCCCAGTAAGGGGAATAAAACCAAAGCTGCTCCAAATTTACCACTATTTTCTTTGTCAATAAGCACAAACACCTGAGCAAATTCAGACTCCTCTCTCCACCCAATCTCCAATCACTCAAAGCACAGTGCCTCAGCACTTTTGAAACTTGGCTGTTTGCCCTTGGTCACCTCAAAACCCAACAGACAAACCCAGCTCTGCAGAACTCAGGAGATCCAAATAGTTGCTTTGTTATCCCAATCCCTTCCAGCTGCAGGACTTACAGCACTTCCTGAGGCTATGGTCAGGTCTCTGGGACAGAAGTCATTGTAGCATGGATTTAAGATGGGTTTAGCCAGGGGACTCCTGCTCAGCAGCAGCAGACCTTTGAACATTCGGTGTGTGGTCACCAGGGAACCAACCACCACACACTTCACTTGCTTTTGGATGAAGAATGACAAGTTGCCTCGGGTTTGCACAGAAAGATGACAGACAGTAAGCTGCTCCTTTTGTCCTGATAAAGGAGAAGAACAAAAATATCAAGTCAATAATTCAAATATCCAAATTGTTAATTGAAAGATACTCCAATCAGTCACTCAGAGTTCACCAGAACCAGGTGATGTCTTCTATGAGGGAGCCAACAACTAATTCATGCAAAAACCCCAACACTTCTCCACCCTCACCAAAAAGACAAAAAAAGAAAAAAATAAAAATAAATCAGGGCTCTGTAAAACTAGTCAGATCACTGCTTTAATCAGGCAGGTTCTGAATACTTGGCAATCCTGGTAATTCACAACTTGAATTCTAGAAGACAGTGGAAAATTTAGTCAGAGAGGTCACTGCAGTCCACGGCACTTCATAGCAGTGCTCTCCTACAGATACTGCAGAGCCATCCTTAGCTTCTGTTGCTACACAAAATAGTAACACTTGTATTGCAGGAAGCCCCTAGAAAAAAGCATGGAAAGCAGGTCTGCAGCTTCAAGTGAAGCTTCTTTTACAAAGCTTCTAGCCTGGAACAAACATAATACCATGGAAAAACAACCCACAACTACCCCCAGCCAGCTGTGGAGCAGCATGTCCTGGCACCAAACCCCATCCCCTTGTGATTCCAACCCCAGGCACTTACTAGCTGCATACCCAGACGCACGAGAAAATCGTGTCACAAGACCAACGTGATTCACTATGTGGTTCTCCACCCCACTTTCTTCCCCAAAGGTGTCTAAAAAAAAGCAAAAGGATTAAGTCATCCTCCTTTGGATGCAGCTGCCTTGCCAAATCAGCTTCTCGAAATGGAGCTACCAAAAAAAAAAACAAACCCACAAATGAAAATCAGAACATTCAAGGAAAATGGTTGTAATGACTTTCTGACTCCAGAAGTACAAATCTCATATTGCAGATACTTTAGGAATACTCAGCTATTAAAAGCTACAAAGACTATAGAGAATTTTAAGTCCACCCTGCATTCTTAAGCCTGAACACAGCACTGTATAAAACCAGAGCAAGTCAAGGACTCCATTAAAAGCTGAAACAAAATCCCAAATTATATGGAAGGCACAAATTCCCTGAAAAATAAGCATTTCTATTACATGGATTCTGCAAAACAGCAAAGTCAAGATACTTTCTGTATTTAAAGTGGATTAAAAAAATTCTGTCCGTAAGGCGCAACTTGAAAATCAGAAGGTTTTATCAAAAACTAAATCCTTACCTGTAAAATGTGCTGTATTCATGTCAGCAGAGAAGGTCTGTAAGTAGAAGCAGTAACTCTTCTCTCTCCCTCCCTGGTTTTCTATCCACTCTTGTGCCAGCTGTATGTTGAAAAGTTAAAACTAAATAAAAACACTTTGAAGGGTTTAGTGTATCAGAAAAGCTTATCATGACTCAAAGGGCAAATACACTAAGCAGAAATAAAAGAAAGCTAATGGATTGGTTAAGTAAATATATCAAGAGTCTCATCAATTTCTTTTCTCCACATAAACATACATGTTATACACAAACACAGAGGGCAAACAAAAGTGCTCCCTCATCACTCACCCTCCACCTTTCTTACAAAGCTCTTCAAAACAAATGTGGGTTCCCCTCAGCTGCATTTTCATCTTTAAATACTATTGTTATCCTGGCATTGACTGAATTTTCTGTCTTGTTTCTATGAAGGAAGTGATCAATGGCTGAATTGGAAAGCACTCAGACATCCAGGGCAGAGGATTGGGACTAGATGATCTGTAAGGTCCATTCCAACACCTAAATTCTGTGATTCTATCCATTACAGGGACACTGGTTTACACTGTTAAACTATAAAACCATTAAAGTTCAGCTGTTTGGAAAAAATACTTCTGAGATTAACCTACCCTCTCACCTAAGCTCTCAAAATATTATCCTTGTCCTCTTTTTACAGTCACTGAAAGACTGAGTTTCCTAAAGATTTCTGTTTTGAGCTTTATATACTATAGAGAGAGGAACCTCCTCCTTTGTCTTCCCTCTCTGCTATTGTGGATGTGCACCCAGAAAAAAAAACAACACTGAATAACACTGGCAGTCCCCAATCAAACCTAAGTGCCTAGATTATTTCCTCCAAATCATTCCTCTACTCTGCCCTGCATCTGAACATTTTCAGAACATAAACAGAGGACACAGACCAGTTTTTAATCTCTTGATAAAATTTACTAGTGTTGATGAAACCAAACCAAAACAGATTGGTACTTACTGTTTCAAAGGCATTTAGCATCATCAAGGGGAAAAAGGTATCAAAATAATCATTGTAGCCCTGAAATTGGACAGGAACAGAAGCTACCACAGACTGCAGAAGAACACTTGGAGTTCCAAAGTGGCTGAAGTTTGCAAACATATCATAAGTCCACTTTAGGACTTGATTAACAAAAATACTGTGATCTCTCTGCTGACCACCAAGAAAGGGAGAACAAACTCCTCGGCCAGACCCTCTGGAGATATTGGAAGCATTATCATACTGTCTGGTTTGGGACTGCAGAATATTATTAGAGACATAGGGTTGAGGTGTGTTACTCAATCTTGGAGTCTTGCACACTTGATTCCCTGCTGGTACAGCCCGTGGGAGTGGTGGCCAGACCACTACTGGTCTCACTGCATTCACTTTGCTTTTGGAAGGTGGAGGTAACGTGGCATTCTCTAGGTCCTTGCTGAAGGCTGCATTCCGGGAAGAGCTTGCTGAGCTGAAAATCTTGGTAGTGGAAGGCTTTCTGATTTTGGGTGGCAGAAGGGAAGGCTTGGCAAACACATGATCTGTGGCTGTATGCTTGCTGCAGGACTCTCCAGCTTTGCCCACTTTTTCTGTACAGTCTTTGTCACTGCATTTCACAACAGCTGAGGATTCATTCTGCTGAAGGTTTTTAGCAACATTTGTTTCCTCTGGGTTTTCACTAGCTATGGCAGTATCTTGATAATTTTCATCCTGAGAACATAATTCCATATCCACAGGATCTAACTGAGTTAAAAACAGATTATCATCATCTTCACCACTTTCATCTGGTTTACACCCATCTGCTTTTGAAGTTTTTGTCTCACACTCAGGCAGGACAGTGGAACCTCTTCCTGAAGATTGAGCTTTACCATCTCCAAGTGCAGTGGAAGAGGTGCTTGAATCCATAGGGACAGCAGGAACACTGCTATCCTCCAACTTCCTGTTCCAGCCTGAAGAACCAGGCATTTTAGAGGTAGAGGTCTCCTCCCCAGAGCAGCTTTCAAATCTTCTCTCACTGGCAAAAGAATAAGTAGTCTCCTCTCTTTTTTTCTCTCTAACAGATCCTTCAACAGACGTCAGCTCAAAACCCTGTTTCATAGATTTTGCACATCCTTTACTAACCTTTTTGTTCCTACCCTCAGCACTTCCTGCAGGATTTTTCACCCTGACACTTTTTTTGGGCCTCGTCTGCCTTAAAAACTGGCGGTCTTGGCAGGCTAGCAATTTCTTGTTGTATTTCACAGACAAATTCTGAGCATCGATGAGTTTAGCCCTCTGTCCCTGTGCAGCTCCAACCCTCCCTGCAGCTTTGCCGTGGTTGCGCAGCAGAGCTACACTCTCCAGGGAGCGCTGGGACAGGTCGAAGGCTTTGCGCGGAGCCTTCTTCAGCCCAAGCCTTTCCACAGTTGATGCTGGTGCAGGACACTGCCGAACCTTCTTTGGAGGAACCACAGCAGGCAATGACCTACCAGGTTGAGAATGTTCTGGTATTCTTGGAAGCAGTTTTTTATCCTGGGCTGGTTTAATAACAGGAGGTTTTTTAGGACTTCTCTGAATGGCTATTGCTAGTTTAGATTTTGCTACCATCTTCTGTGGGCTTGTGCTGTTTTTCTTCAGGGCCAACTTTGCAGCTAAGGAGACTGTGGATGTAGATGCTCTGGGTTCAGGTAGTTTTGAGTCCGGGGTGAAGACTTTAGCAGCAGTACCTTTGTCAGCAAAATTCTCCAGTTGACCTTTTGCATTTTCCTTACTAGCAGATTCTTGCGACGTTGAATTGGTCACTTCTTTCGTACCATCAGTTTCCTTCTGCTGAGAACTGTTTTCTATTGAGCTTGCTTCTCCTTCTTCCATGGTATCATAATCTATGTAATCCACCTCATAACCCCATTCATTAGTGCTATCATGCAGGGATTCACCTGAATTGCTACTGTCAGTTGCTGTCGTAACATCATTTTGCTTATACTCTTGAGTTGCTTCCAGAGCATATGCCTGAGTATCTTGCCAAGCAGAGAAGACCTCAGCTTCTGTTTCAAATTCAAAGTACTGAGACTCACACTCATCCAGTGACAAGGGAGTGCTTGGAGACTTGGAGTCTGTTTTGACATCACGATCCAAAATGCTGCTGGAGGTTGAAGGCTGCTCTGCAGGACACACATTTTCACCCTTCAGTTTTGTTTCCTCCTCATCAGACAAACGTTTTTCTTCATCAGAAGAGTCTAAAACTACAATGACTTGATTTTTATGGCAATCTGCGTTACAGGGAGACTTGGCTCTTTGGTCTTCATTGGAAGATCTTACAGCACCTTTCACTTTCCTTCTAATATTACACACATTATATTGTACTGAACTTTCTTGGCTTGACTCAAAGGAAAAATTGACACTTTTAGCATAAGCAGCTAAAGATAATTTACTGAGATCTCTGTCAACCTGAGAGTCAGATAGAGTAGTATCTTCAGACACCATCTTCACAAAACTCTCCTCTTTTTTCGCCCCTGAAGTCTTTTCCCTCTTGAAATATTCTGAAAATTTAAACAATTTATCACTGGATTCACATTTCACTGACAGTGGCCTGACCTGAGCAGCAGGGTTGGATGTATCCCTCTTGTTTTCAGAGCTGGATGGAAAGCAACCATTTGGTGAAGTTTTATCCATACAAAAGGCCTTTGAAATTTGATGTTTACTATCAAATTGAACCAAGTCATTTAAATGAGACTGTTCCTGGTCTGAAGTTTGCATGTCAGTGTCTTCCTTAGACCTCAACAATGAAATTGATTTTTCTTCTGTTGATACTTTTTTCACTGAGGTGTCATTAATTCCTAAAAGCAAAATACTGTCATCTTCTTTCTCCTGCACACTAGGGTCATTTTTAGAGGAGCTGGAGCAATCTGGTGGTGTTTCTTTTGATACCTGTTTAGTGGGGAGCAGTCTGGATTGAAACATACTGTTGACACTTGTCTCCTGCTTATCTTTGCAACTCCTTGCAGATGAAGCATCAGCAGAGATCTCATTTTTGCACCCAGTATTAGTTCCCTGATGCTTATAAGAGTCTTTGCTTGTACACAGAAAGTCAGTGCAAACCTGAGGTTGCTCTACCTCTGGTTTTGTAGTTCTTGCTGATAAACTGCAGTTTTTCAAGTCATGTAGTTTCTCTGGCTGTGACATTTTTGAGAGCCATTTGCTTTCCTGTAACTTGTTTTTCAAGCCCTTGACTCTCTGCACATCCACTTTAACCTCTGAAGAGGAACTGGGAGGTATATTGCTTTCCTTCTCATTTGAGCTGTCAAGATGTTCTGGAGCACCAAGATGAGTCTGAGCACCCAAACATGTTGGTGTTACAGGTTTTGCTTCATCTCTGATTTCCAATTCTCTGCCTCTTCTGAGACCTGAACACTGGGCACTGGAATTAGAGCCCTGATCACCTGTATTGCACTTCCTTGCCACAATATGATTCCTATCTTCCTGAACTTTCCTATGTAGTTTTGTTGCCAAAGTGCTCTGTGGCAAAACATATTCCTGAGCTGTCAAGTCATCAGGTTCCTTTTTAATATCCACCAAGAGGCCTTCTGTGGATGTCCAAGATGTTGAACTTTTAGGTGCATCTCTACATTCCTCTTCCCAGGTGTTCTTTCTTCTGGGGAAAAAGTTCTCCTGGCAATTTGCACCTTCCTTTCCTATGACAAACGGTGGGTAAAGATCATCCTTCTCATGCACACTTGTCTTGCACCCATCACCACACACCTTCTCTTGCTTTATAGAAATGGTAGGCAAAGTTGGAGAGTTTGCATTGTTTCTTCCAGCCATAGAGGCACTCAGTGCTCTGCTCTTTATGTTTCTTATCACTTGCTTTAAACACATTTGTAATTCCTGGGTTTCCTGCACGTTCAGCTGCCAACCTACAGCCAGATTTCCTCGCAGGAGGAGGTTGAGTTTGTCCAGGTACTGCTTGCAGAGAGCATTCTGCCCCAGCTGATAGCCTTCCTTAAGGAGGCTGCGGATCAGCTGCACACAGGAGTGCTGCACTGAGGTAGAGGCTTGTAAAGATGATGCTGCTGAGCCTTTCACACAGTAACCACCAGAGGATTTTTCAGTGCACCTTGTAAATGCTCTTGCTGGAAGTGTAGCACATCTCACCACTGCTTCCACCCATTCCTGGGAGCTAATCCACAGCAAGTGCAGGCACTTTTTGTTTCTGTGCAGTTCAACAATGGACACCAAGATGAGGAGGAAAAACTCAGAGACCCTGTCACACTGCTGGATTCTTTCATCGAGAATATCTTTGGTTTCTGCGCAGAGGTAGTGAATCACTTCCACTATATACGCTACACCCAAATCCTGGAGGTCCATCAGGGACTGAACAAAAGGGATGAACCAGAGGAATGTGCTGTGATGGACACGCATGTCTCTGCCAGTTTCAGACTGCAGCACATTAGCCAGAGTTTGCATATCTTCATACATGTTGGGGCAGTACTCTGGACAAATGGCAGCCTTCCATCCAGTGTCCTGAAAAACAAATTAACCACACATCAGCTCACTGATAAGCACACCTGCAGTCTAATCTGCCATGAAGGTTGCTTTCTTTCAAATACATGTTCATTAAATTGTAACATCTCTTATATCTTACAGTCTGGAAGGACCAACAAAACAAGTGACCAGCCTGGCTGCTGTTTGAGACACCAGTAGTGACGTATCATTTAGTAGTTTTTCTTTACATTACTAGTAGAAACAGAGTATCTTCCCTTCTGTATAAATGGTTTTCAACTGACAATGTCATTCAGTGATCAAAGAACAGGAAAATAAAATAGTGGTTTAATACCTTTTGAGGCTTTTCTGTGTTATAATTATACACAATCTGACTGCAAGTAATCATGTCGTCGCCATAGTCTGACTCTGGTTCAGATTTTGTCCTAAGAAGGAACACACATCATTACGGACTCCATAGAACTAAAAATTTAAAGCCAAGTAGCTAAGACAGATGTTGTTTTTCAGATACCAAGTGACCTTTACAGCTTGTCAGTGCTAAAACCTACCTAGGGAAAGGTACCATATTTAAAAGCATAGAGCTTGTTTTATCCAGCTCATAAGAGGTGGGGGAAGTGATTGCCTCAGGAAAAAGCTTTCTATTAAGTCATGAACTTGACCACCTAGAACAAACACCCAGAATTCCATTTCCTTTGATTTTCTATGCCTGAATGCAGCTCAATCATGGCTACATGCTCATAAGTTTTGTATGGAACTGTTTGAAAACAACACAAAATATCAAAATCTTACAAGGGTTCTATGTGCTAGTCTCTCAGCAAAACTGACCTATGAAAGCTACTGCGTATACTTTTGATTTCATTGTTGTAGCTCACACTATTGATGATGGTTTGAAAGGCCTGGACAGGATCAATCAGTTGACCCCAAACCTTCGATCCGAGCTGATCCAAAATAACCATGAAACAATGCAGGGCAGGCCAGAAGGGGTCAGTGGACTCATCTGAAACAGAACAGCAGTGGGGAGAGGTGAAATGCAAGTCCTGAACAGTCTCAGACTAAACTGAAACTGAAAGTCACTGATTTTCATTGATCTTGCTTAAATAGCAACACAGAGATAAGTATTTGAGTAAGTTGCAACTATACTTTTTACCCTGAGAAAAGAAGGATGAAAAAAGCCAAGCTCACTTATCTGGACAAAAACACTGCTCCTTATGGTTTTAAACCACAGGAACCTGGACGCCCATTACTAATATTGTACTAGTATTTCCCACCACTATAGAACTGATCTCTCAGTATCAACAGGAGTTACCAGTTGCTTCCTTCTCCATGGTGTGAAGTATAGACTGCATGAAGTCATTTTGTCTGTCTAGTCCCAGTAACAAGGAGTCCATAGCTTGTTCTTCCAACACTGTCAGCAACATGCAAATCCCTACAAGAGGAAAATAAAGGCCAAAAAGCAACTTCCAATTTTCCTATTTGACAAGCCTCAACATACACAGCAGCTATGGAATTGTAGAGCTGTGACTTGAAAGGATGAGAGAGAGACTACATAAATCCAGGTCTGATCATGAACACTCACCCAGCCAATAGTTCTTGTAGTTGGTTGTGTCATACAAATGAGCTGGCAGAAGGATGAGTTTGCCCTTCTCAAACATTGAAGAGGTGTAAATATCTGAATTCTCAAAAAGACCCAACTCAATCACTTTGAACAGACAGGTCAGCACCTCCTCTAAGTCATAGTAATCATCCCTGTCAACCTTTCCTAAATTCCTTGCTGTCAGGATGGCCCAGCGCCGGATCTGAGGGTTGAAACAGAAGTTACATGCTAATAAAAAGAACAGATAAAACCACAATTCTGCAAGATTAAGAATTATTGATACTACAAATGGGACAAAGGCATATTTTTACTACTGCAATAGTTAAAAATAAGTCTTTCTCCAAAACAAACTTAGAAACAGCGTGACTATTCCCATGGGATCATGTTGGTAACAAGCTAAAATTCAGGGTAATATATACCAAAAAATCTCCTTGGGATTAATGCAACAGAAGTGTAACATTTAGTCTGTACTAGTTTTATACTGTTTCAACATTAGTAACCAACATTTAGTAATGAGAGAACTGCACATCATAACAGATGTGAAGTTGTGCTGCCAGCACAGACATATCTGGCCTTGGTGCAGTCATCCTCTGACCTACTGAGAAAACTCCAGAGTCTGAACAAGTGTGAAGTACAATAATTAAGTCTTTCATTGTTTCTTAGGACAGCTTGGTATTTTGTTTTGGCTGTACCATTTTCCAGCACATTGGCCAGTGTTGGAAATGGTACAGCCACAACCTTCCCCCTAGCCAGGAGTCACTGGAATTTAGTGGAACTCACTAACTTACCACTTCATTTGGGTGTACCAAAAAGAGATAAATTCCTGGATATTTTTCAAAGACCTGAAAGGAGTCATGACTTTGTTCCATTCTACAGAGCACTTCTACACACAGCTCACCTAAAAAGATAAGACAGTTATAGTAAGGACTAATTCATATGCTCACAAAAAAAATTTCCTGCCAAAATAAATACATAATATATACACATACACACTGATACTTGGCTTAAGTACTATGAGTTATTTGCATCTTCTCTAGCAGAAACAATACCAGTCCCTTCCAAAGGTACAGCCCCAGATACATACTGACTTTCTCATGCAGCAGCAGGTATGGATACTTCAGTATTTCTACAAGAGGCACTCGCAGGTGATTCTCAAAATCTGGGCCCACATAGCCACACAGTTGTGTCTCCCCATTCTCATCCACTAGGAACAACTCATCATCCTCTCCCATTTCCTTCTGCATGGATTTCTCAATGTGGGCAACAAGTCGGGAGGTTTCCAAGTTCCACAAGTCCTGTTCAGTGAGGAAAAACAACTAATCAAAGTGCAGTTGGGAAGAAAGTGATTGAGGACATTTATCATCACATGGTCATTATCATCACCTTCACGAGGCTTTCAAAACTTAGCTTCATTTTGAAAAGTTTCGCTCCAAGTGTAGTGTGAAACAAGGAAGTTGTGACATGGAATTCCATTGTGCAAATCACCAACTCTCACTTTGGGGTTAAGGTTATAAAGTCATTTCTAAAAGAGCAACCTTCAAACCAGAAGCAATTCTATTATTTTACTCAGTAGTCACAGATCATTTCACTAATTATTCCAGGCTATGGGTCAGTCACAAGATTTTGCTGCACTGGCCAATAGAGAAGGACACAATACAGAAAAAGATCCTATTGAGGAAGAATAGAAAAGCAATTAAAAATCTTCCCTGCTCACAGGTTTTGCAGTGAGTAGAAGGGAGTGAATGTAAACACTGCCCACAGCTTGACTTGCTGGGTATCTGTAGGGATCTGCTCACTTATTCATCTACAGTAACTGCTCCAAACCTCAACTAGAAAGTGAGTTTATTCCCTGCAGTTAACAGGCACAGAAGAGAGCTGTGTCCAGACACCACTTATTTCCAGTCTCTGCTCAGATGAGATTAGCCTCCAGAGTAATCTGACTAACCTACAGAGCAGCTGTTAGAAAACTGTATTATGATCAACGAGCTACAAACATGCATTTTACATACATATACCTTGGAGGGAAAATAAGCTTTCCAAAAACATAAACCTGGATCCTAGCGAGGGAGAATCACAAAAGGCTTGCAGTAAAATAAAGAGTTTAAAGCTTTTGCTGTTTTTAATTACCCAGTCTCACAGGATTGCAAGGCCTGAGCTCTGAAATTCAAACACAGTAGAAAACTGCAAACGAGAAGTGAAAGCAAACAAAAACAGGAACAAACTGAAAGCTGAACAGGAGTCAGAGGAAAGGAGAAAATATATTAATGAGCTGTTAGTCTGGCAGATGTTCTTTGTTTCAGACAACAAACCACCACAGCATGACTAAAGTCCAAGCTACAGTGCCCAGTAAGCAACTTCCCACTACTGTTTTAACTCTCACTCATGTCAACATATGCAAAAAAGAGTCTTCATTTTACAATCAGCTGTTTGCAACTCGATATAAAGCAAGCAGAAAGTTAAAAAGCAACACCCTCTACTCCCAAAAATCAATAAAGCACCACCTCTGCACAAAACTCCCCCTACACTGAGGCTGGCCCACACAAGCCGCTTAATTGACCTCTTAATTACCTCGTGCAGCCTTGGAAATTGTTCCCTTGCTTTGTGGTATTCAACCACACACTCCAGGCAGTAACAGAGATCATCGTTGGATCCTTCAAAATCTTCCTGGGACAATCTCTGAGCTGCATACTGCTTCAGGAACTCGGTGGTGTCAGCACCACCCAGTGTGCACCATCGGCATGTGCTCATTCTGGGGAGGCAAAGATGAAGGAATTAGCCAAGTCTAAAGACTGAAAGTGGCAAAATATTCCCTTTCAGCCACAACAGTTCCCAATTTTCAAGTGTGATGAGCTCCAGGATCTGTGTTACTCGTTAGCAGGGTACATGTGGGTGTTTTTGTCAGACAGGTGTGTGCAATTAAGCAAATAAATACACATTAAAGCATTAAATGATTATGAGAGAAAATTGCCTATGGAATGGCAAACAGGAGAAGTAAAGCACTGAAAAGAAGTCAGATTTGCAGACCATGAAACAATGTGTGAAAATTCATTTTACATATATATAAAAACAACCTCCTCACCCACACAATTTCCAGAACTACAGTGCTCAAGTTCTTCATATTGTTTTACTGGTGTCTCTAGAATCTAGGTCTAGTGGTACAAAATTTAATTAGCTTTTTCTTCTCTCCTGCTGTAATTTATAGGTCAACAAATCCCTGTTGTCAAAAGCAAAGGACATTTATGCAGAATTTCCCTGTCTTTATTTTAATAGTTAGAAAGTGTGATACAATTCTCACCATAAATTGCTTCTTCTAAAAAGAAAATTCTTCACTAAGCAGCAATTCAGTCACCCCAGACCCTGTTAGTCTGAAAAATTCAGCACTGGAACCACAGATTGGTTTGAGTTGGAGGGACCTTAAAGCTCATCTCATTCCACCATCTGCCATGGGCAGGGACACATTCCACTAAATCAGGTTGCTCCAAGCCCCATCCAACCTGGCCTGGAACACTTCCAAGGATAAGGCAACCACAGCTTCTCTGGGCAACCTGTGCCAGTGCCTCAGCACCTCACAGGGAAGAATTCCTTCCCAATAGATAACCTAAATCTCCCCTCTCAGTTTGAAGCCACTGCCTCTTGTCCTATCACTATAGTTCCTGACAAAGAACTCCTTTCCAGCTTCCTTGTTGTAGCCTCTTCAGATACTGGAAGGCTGAAAAAGCAATAACACTTGAACTAAGGCTATAAAAGGAAAGATAGTAACTGCTTCTGTCATTCAGCATAACAAGCAAAGCTAGACAAAGTGAAACCACACCTTTCCTCAAACATACATGCTGGGAAAAACAAACTGTGGCATTTACCTTTGGAAAGGGAAGCGATTTGCTGTGCAGGTGTGCCAGGTCACATGGTGGGAAGGAACAGCACTGCCCTGCAGCTAGGGCATGGAGCTGAGCCCCTCAGCCACACATGCCCTGAGTGCAGCACGGCAGAGCCTTCAGCAATCCATCCCTGGCCACCAAGTCTTGATGGTATTTCACAGCCCTAGAGCAAAAGAGAAATCAAATCATCAGGAGTCAGTCCAGCTCATGCATTTAAGAACTGCTTTAACGATTAGCAGGATGGTATTAAATGCATTCCACAGAGTGGTAAGTATTATTTGCAACTGAATCCCTTCTGCCATTCAAGCGAGGCAAGTCATCTGTCCCATCTTTTACTAACAAAAGGGATGAAAGAAACTTATTCAACACCAATTGGATGTGAATAAATAGCTACTTCTCTTCACCCTGGGAGCACGGGGATTGCTCCTCCAAATGTGTTCCCAGTACAACAACATTCACATGGTTTATATATTCTCTTGTTACATTCTTCCATTTAACTCTGACAGTGATATCGGTCATACAGCTTTGTTTTAAGGTGATCACTGATCAGTTCTACTTATCCATTGACTGGAATCCTTGGACCCAGACCAAGATAGAGTGGGTAGAGGAGATTTCTAAGCAGAACATCAAACTTCACCAAGAAGTTATGCATGTTATTTGTGATTGCATACACAAAACACAGCATGCCTAACAATCCTCTATTCTATATTTCAGAGCATTCTTCAGAAAACCCATATCCTACTTCTACTCTGTAACTTTCAATCACAACAATCTCTAATTTCAATGACATTGCTTATACGATTAACTCTTGATTATTTCAACAAACAGAACGTTTGCTACAAAGTGATAAGGATCCCTTGCAAATGAATCCCTTCTGTCATTCAAACGGGGCAAGCACCGCGGCACCTCCGACTAAGAAAAGGTGGAAATATTCATCTGTGCACATTAAGCAAAGAAATTGCTTAAAAGAGCGTCTGAGGGCACACCAACCCCAGCTGCGAGCAGCACCTCGACCTGTAACGCTGCTACCGACACGCTTTACCGACAGAGGAGCGGCAGCACCTGCGCTCGGGCACAGCCGAG